AGGTAATTTTTTGTATTTTTAGTAGAGTCGGAGTTTCACCATGTTGGCCAGGCTGGTCTTGAACTCCTGACCTCATGATCCACCCGCCTCGGCCTCCCAAAGTGCTGGGATTACAGGCATGAGCCACCGCGCCCGGCCCGTTTCAGACTTCTGAGCCATGGCAAGTTTGATTTCCTGATAGCTCTGCTTATGTGCTCTTCCATAGCCGCACTTAGCATAACTCATTTTAAGAGTTGGCATTAAACATTTTTTAAACTATGTGCTATGCTTTGAATGTGTCCCCCAAATTTCATGTGTTGGAAATTTAATCCCAGTGCAACAGCGTTGGGAGCTGGGGCCTGATAAGAGGTGATTAGGTCCCGAGGGCTCTGCTGTCATGACTGGATTCATGTTGTTATCTTGGGAGTGGGTTAGTGATGAGACAGTGGACTTGTTATAACATTGAGTTCGACCCTCTCTTGCTCTCTTGTCCTTCCACCTTCCACCATGGGACTATGCAGCACAAAAGCCCTTGCCAGATGCAGGCCCCTTGACCTTGGAGTTCCCAGCCTCCAGAACTGCAAGAAATAAATCTGTTCTTATTCTGTTAATGCAGCACAAAATGGACTAAGACAGTAGATATGAAAAATGTTTGAAGAACTTTACAACCATCCTTTAAAGTCATACACAGGAAGGAGTCCCAAAGACGGTTAAAACAAAGTAGAAAACTGAGGCAAATCCTGAGATAATTCAAGATAAAAATTACTTTTAATTGGCAGTTTTAGGGAAATATTCAAAATATTCTGGCAATATACAAAACTTTGAATGAACTGGCCCCTGGCCACCGCTCCCAGCTAATGTGGGCCACTGTTCCTTTCCTTACTAGGTTCCAGCCACACTGGCCACCCTCCTCTCCTACCTCTGTGCACATGTCTTGCTGATCCTTCTCCAGGGACGTGCTTTCTCTTCATGTGTTCCCAGCTGGCCCCCTCAAGGGATCCAGCCCTCTGCTCCTGGGACCCCTCCTTGGAGCCATCTTCCCTGACCTCTCCATCCAAAATAGCACTGCTCTCTCATCACACTACCCCCATCTTGCTTTATTTTCTTCTTTGCATTTGTCACACAAATACCATGTTATAAATATAAATTTGGACATCTTATTCACCATGGAGTTTTTTGCATTGATTTTTATTTCTTAAAAATAATTGCATCAAAATATTATTTATCTTGATACACAGTGTTTTGGGCACTGCCTTACATTTTGCATTCCAGAAGAGCTCCTCTCCACCTCCTGCCTGGTTTTTTAAATCTCCCTCGACTAGAAAGAAAGCACCATGCTCCAGAGCCTTTGTTGTGTTTCCTGCAGCATCTCTAGTCATCAGCAAAGGCCTGAACAAGTAGGAGCTGCTCAATGACTATTTGAGAAATGAATGAATGAAAGGAAAAGGGTATTAGCAAGTAGCTTTGATTCACCTCCTTGTAAGTGCACACACAAATGGGCAACTTTCAGAGGACTGGGGTGCATCCATAGGGAAAATATAGCATTTTTAAAAAGATGTTTATAAAAAACATAGTTGCCACGAAACCACAAACACAACTCCCCACCACTTGTCAAACTGGAAGATCTCTAACATGGGCTCTTCACCACTTCCAGCCTCCTGATGAAATTTGACTTAGTTGAGGTCGAGTTGCTACCACCACACCACCCACCATTTCCTCTTCCTTCCTTGGGAGGAAACCGTACAGAATTCTGGGCATTAAGCAAAAATACTCAGCAAAAAGTTACCAAAAGCTAAAAAATTGTGTTTAATTTTATTTGAAAGTTTTTTTCAGAGGTAATCATCTTATTAATGAGTGGAAATTCGCCCTGGAATCACTGTTTCAAAAAAAGGAAGGAAACACATTTAGCTCACGGCAGCATTTTTCAATATTTTACACCCAAGCGTTTTGTATTTTGTTGACAAAGGTCTTCAGTTTGGATTCATCTCAGAAAAAAAAAAGGACTTTTCGTTACGTATTAGAACACAATGAAAGACTCACTTATGAACGACTAAGTTAAAGAATATAAAGCATTAGAACAGTGCTTTAGTAGCAATGTAGTAATAATTTAATAAATATATGCCACTGTTATTAAGCATAAAACATAATTTTATCCACTGCAATAAAAATTTATTTTTTGCCTCCTCACAATGGTCGCTCCTCTTTTTAATTTTCTGTTTTTTGAAATGAAGTTGTACTCTGTCGTCCAGATTGGAGTGTAGTGGTGCAATCATGGCTCACTGCAGCCTCGAATTCCTGAGCTCAAGAGATCCTCCCACTGTAGCCTCCCGAGTAGCTGAGACTACAGGTGTGTACTATCAGGCTCAGCTAATTTTTTTGTATTTTTTTTTATAGAGACAACATCTTGCTTTGTTGCCCAGGCTGCTCTCAAACTCTAGGGCTCATGCAACCCTCCTGCCTTAGCCTCCCGAAGTGCTGGGATTTCAGGCATGAGCCACCAAGCCTGGCCTAATCCTTCCTTCTTCCAACAATATTCCTGACTTTTGTTAGGGGATCCTGTCAGGACACAGTTCTCCATAGGTCTTTTGCCTTTCTGCACATATTCAGAGCAGAGGCACCAATGACATTTTGTTGTGAACTGTCTTTTAAAGGATGTTGTCTAACCATCTTCCAACAGCCTTGGAGGATAGAGAGAATGTCTCCCTCCAGAGCAGAGGTCAGGTTTGTTTGGTATGCAATATATTAAAAATGAAGGCGAGGCACGATGGCTCACACCTGTAATCTCAGCAGTTTTGCAGGCTGAAGCAAGAGAATCGCTTGAGCCCAGGAGTTTGAGGCTGCAGTGAGCTATGTTTGCACCACTGTATTCCAGCCCGGGTGACAGAGCAAGACTCTGTCTAAATACGTGTGTGTGTGTATATATATATATAAAGTACATATTATATATCTCACACATATAATATCCATATTACATATCTAACATCTATATTGCATAGCTATAACATATATTACATATATAAATATGTATAAAGATGATATCTCCCTCTGAGGCCAAGCCTGGTCAGATTTGCTCAGAGCCCTTTATAAAAGATTGGGGATTCCTATGCTAAGATTCCTTGGCTTTGACACAAACCTATGTGATCAGCATCCACCTGAGCCTGCCACTGCATCACCCCCTGGGACTTGGGGGACCTGGGAAATGATGTGAAGGTGAAGCAACGTTGCTTGCGATGCCAGGAGAAAGAGTCCTTTGTCTCCATGCACAAAAGAACGAACACTGCAGGCCTGACAAATATCCTTATGAAGACCTGCCCGCGAGGTTGACCTTCGGTTGGTGCATGGAAACTTGGATTTTGGGAGGGTTCCCACCACTGCCAGAATTTATAAGAACGGCTCATTGTGCCTAAACTGTTTGTACACACGTGATTCATACGGAACACCTGCTTTCCTTCTGGGAGTCTGGAAAGTTGGTACGTGCCAGACAGAGGCTTCCCACCTGATCAGCCCCCAGTAAAACCTGGCTGCTGAGGCTCTCATGAGCTTTCTTGGTTGACAACATTTCACACATGTTGGCACAAGTGTTGCTGGGGCGAATTAAGCGTGTCCTGTGTGACTCCACTGGGGGAAACTCTCGGAAGCTTGTGCCTGGTCTCCCCTAGATTTCACCCCAGGTACCTCTTCCCCTTGCTGATCTCACTTTGCATCTGTTCAATATAGTAAGTCACATCTGTGAGTATGACTCTATTCTGAGTCCTGCGAATTTTCCTAGGGACTCATTGGACCTGGAGGTGGTCTTGGGGACCACTGACAGAGTCTCTGATCCCAGAATCTCATGTCTTCTGTCTGCATCCATGAAATGGTGACAGGCTAACTTGTTAATTTCAAAGATGAAACCTCAGGCCCACCCATCACAACGCTTGAAAGACCAATCCCGTTACCTCTCAGGACATATGGGAGAGTGTGTGTGGGGTGGGTGGGAATTCCAGATCTAAATGAACCTCGGTGTTCCATGCCCTGCTTACCATGGAGCTTTCGGGAGCAGGCACCTGATCTAAGCCAATCCAAGCCTAATGAAGGTCTTTTCTTCTCCTCTGGCCAAGAATCAAGAAGAGTGTAACCTGGAAAAACCACCTTGCAATCATGGGGGTTAACCCAGAGCAAGTGGGACCGAGAAACTGGTCCTGGATGACACTGTTGGAACCCCTGAAACCAGCCAGCTGTGCGGCTAGTTTGCCCCTGGATGATTTTAAGATCTATGAGTTAATAAATTTCCTTTACTGCTTAAGACAGATTGGATATGATTTTCTATCCCTTGTAAGAGGAGTCTTAACTGATGCAGATCATGGCTGTTCAAAGGTAGGCCCCCTGGAGGGCCTCTGTCCAATAGTAGAGAACTAAGCCTCACAAAGAAGGGATCCTTCTTTTAAGGACCCTGAGACTAACTCAATAAAAATATTGAGAATGTTGACAGTGTTGACATATTGAAAATATTGAACAATATTGAACACTGAAAATATTGAACAAATATTGAAAATGTTGACAGTCTCCAGCAGTCAACATTTTACAAGCGCCTACCAAGGAAAGAGTAGCAGATAGCAGTAGGACTTGGTATCATTTCAGGTGACTTACAGCCTGGAGATGTTCTTCCAGGCTGTAGAGGTGTTTATGCACCTGGGAGACCCAGACCTTCACTTAAAATGAAGTGATGATGTAACCATGGCAACGTGAGCTGAGGACTCAGCTACAAGGAAAGGAAGAGGAGGTGGTTTGAGTTGAGGGGATGTCCGTGCCACTTTCATATCTGTGCCCAGTGATGAGCATCCTATCCACACCACGCCTTCCTGTCTGCACCACCACAGGTGATAGCTTTGTTTTCCAGTACCAACCCGGTGCCTAAGAGCATGGCCTCTACCCCATCTCCCTGCAGACTTCAGGGAGAAGCACTGGAATGACAAAAGTAAACATTGGAGGCTTCACTTGGGTGACAGAGACTTTTCCAAAAAAAAAAAGAATGCTGCAAATGATGTTTAAAGTCATGATTGTATTTAATATTATTAGGATGATGCAAAGGCAATTGCGGTTTTTGCCATTACTTTCCATGGCAAAAGCTGCAATTACTTTTGCACCAACCAATATACATTGTAACAGATTTGAGACAAAATATAAAATTTTTCAAACTGAGCAGAATTTATCAACCCAGAATCTGTAATGAATGAAATAAATTAATAGAGAACCCAACAGATCATGTTATGTTGTAAATATAACATCTATCTTTAGGTTAAAGTAACATAGCAAAAATATATATTTATGGGTGCAAGACATACATAATTTGTACCAATCTCACAGAACTAATTCAATTCAAAACAACAAAAAAACTTACTCTATTTTCTAATGAACGCAATAAAAATTAACCATTTCAAAACCATTTCTCTTGTGCTTCGCCAACTTACGTTTTTCCTGGCACCTGTTATACTGTGTATGTATTTCTTCATCACTTTACTGTTTGACTCCCCTACTAGATTGTAGGTTCCAAGAGGGCAAGGCCTCTGCTACACTGTTATGTCTCCAGCACCTAGAACTTGGCATGTAGTAGGCATCCAATAAATAAATGTTAAATGAGTGAATTTAAAACACATACATGCCGGGAATGGTGGCTCACGCCTGTAATCCCAGCACTTTGGGAGGCCAAGGCGGGGGATGGCCTGAGGTCAGGAGAACCAGACTAGCCTGGTTAACACGGTGGAAACCCATCTCTACTAAAAATACAAAAATTAGCTCTTCCTTTCTCTGCCATTGTGGTGTGTGCTTGACTCTGCTTCTTGCCATGTCTTCTCATAAGACTTTCAGGATTGTGATTCCTGACCAAGAAGCAAAAAGAAAATCGCCCCACTCCCCAGTGGATTTGGATGAAAACTGGTAATAAAATCAAGTACAACTCCAAAAGGAGACACTGGAGAAGAACCAAGCTGGGCCTATAAGGAATTGCACATGAGACGGCACACACATTTATGCTGTCTGAAGGTCACGGTCATGTTACCACATCAAGGTGAAAATGTCACCACTCTCTGGAGAGTTGTACATGTTTTATTGGGAATATATTTTTTCTCTCTGAATCTGTTATGAATGCATTGGTTGGCTGGGTTCAGTAATAAATATGTGAGACTTTTCATTAAAAAAAAAAATACAAAGATTAGCTGGGCATGGTGGTGCATGCCTGTAGTCCCAGCTACTCTGGAGGCTGAGGCAGGAGAAATGCTTCAACTCGGTAGGCAGACGTTGCAGTGAGCTGAGATGGCGCCACTGCCCTCCGGCCTGTGTGACAGAGTGAGACTGTGTCTCAGAAAACAAACAAACAAAACATGCACACATTTAATTAATCAACATAAAATATGATTTCTACGAAGTCACTTCAAGCTGATACTGCATACTCCATATATGCTAAACTTCACAGGGTTTTACCTCATATCTGTCTCTCTTTCCTGACCCCCTATGGGGTAAGTCAATACCCCGGGGTTGCTTAGCCACTTGGTACTACCAGCTTTGGGTCTTTGGGTACCAGGTCTGTTTCAGCTGATCGGTGTATACCCCGGCTGGCTTTTCCCATAGGACAGAGTTGCACAAGTTGTGGGTGTGAAGCTGAGAGGTGAGCAGAGGAGGAAGGGAGGTAGAGAGTCCTCATCCCAATGTCCCTCTGAACTGCCGCGTGTGTCGCTCCAGCTTCTCAGCCTCCGCCTGGAGGTGCCCCAGCGCGGCAGGGCTGGGGTAGGTGAGCACGGCATTCTTAGTGGCCAGCGCTACGTCCTTGAGCAGGCTGCAGAGGTGACTGCTGCCGCGGAGGATCTCGTTGCGCACGTCCCTCTCCTGGGTCTCCGTGCACAGCGTGTCCACCAGCTTCTGGCCCACCGTGATGACCAGCTTGCTCTGAGTGATGATCTCCGCAGGCTGGCTGCTGCTGAGGCTGCCATGAAATGCGCTGATGGCTTTGAAGAGCGCCCCAAAGTAGAGCCGGCAGTGTTCAGAGAGGCGGTGTTTCCTCTCAGGAGTCTGTTGACTCGAAGGCTGGGGTGTAAGAGGGCCAGGATTCTAAAGAAGGGAAGGAAGAATATAGATAGGAGACTCAATCAATGGGCTGTGGCTGTGTGTCCTTTCCTGTTTTGGCTAGATTTGCAAGACCTTTTATTTTTTTAAAGAAAGCATGGTTTGGTTTGGGAAGCCCAATACTGCAACAGTTGTCTAACAAATTAATGTTTTCAAAGCACTGTAACATATAATATATACAATCTTATATTGTAATACATACATATAATTTTATTCAATCATCTCAATAAACCAACCATTAGAAACCCATTCTAAGAAACACATTGGCAATAACTATAATTTTTTTTTTTTTTTTTTTTTGAGACAGAGTCTTGCTTTGTCTTCCAGGCTGGAGTGCAGTGGTATGATCTCGGCTCACTGCAACCTCTGCCTTCTGGGTTCAAGCAATTCTCCTGCCTCAGCCTCCTGAGTAGCTGGGTTTACAGGCACCTGCCACCATGCCCGGCTAATTTTTGTATTTTTAGTAGAGATGGGGTTTCACCATGTTGACCAGACTGGTTTTGAACTCCTGATCTCAAATGATCCGCCCACCTCAGCCTCCTAAAGTGCTGGGATTACAGGTGTGAATCACTGTACCCAGCTAAATTTTTGACTTTTAAAAATGCAGGGAAACTTGTTGGTGAGTTTTAAAATGTTCTCAAAGAACAGATTTAAAAACATTTAAAAATCCAAAAATCCTCTCTGATTTCAGTATCAGAGGTACACCAGAACCCCCAACATATCCAGAAGAAACGAAATACCCTGACCTATCTGCCTTAATATTATTATTATTTTTTGCCTTGTTATTAAAATATTTATCATATTTGCTAATAAGGTTTCATCAACATTTTACATTCATGAATTTTATTTTGTGGAAAATGGAACTAACGTCTCCCAAATCCTATATACTCTCAGAGATTTTCAGTACCTAACTTAGTGGCCACAACTCCAGGTAACAACTGAAAGGTGAAGCGAGAAAAGGCTGCCTCTGGCCATTCCATTAGCACATCAGAGATCTGGAGCTCTAGGTCTGAAACTCGCTTTCTTTCCATTAAATTTCACACTCTTGCATTTACCTATTATCTCAAAATTCACAGGCCGGAAGCATTTTTAGACAGATATGGCATAAAACTGATTTTTTTCAGGAGGGGGTTATGTCTCCAGGGGCCGGTAGGGTTGGAGGGGAAGTTAGACAAGGAGGAGGAAAGCATACTTTGAAGAAGCACATTCATGATTAGAATTGCATATTTGGAAAATGAAAACAATGATTGTCTTTGTCATAGAAAGTGAAGGCAAGATTGAGATGTCAGTTCAGATGAACTCTTGGAAGCAGGGAGTGTAAGAATGAAGCAGGTTGAGTGCAGTGACCCACGCCTGAAATCCTAGCCCTTTGGGAGGCCGAGGCAGGAGGATCACTTAACCCTAGGAGTTCCAGACTAGCCTTGGCGACATATGAAACTCTGTCTCTACCCAAAACAAAACAAAACAAAAATTAGCTGGGTATGGCGGTGTGGGCCTGTGGTCTCAGCTACTTCGGGGGCTGAGGTGGGAGAATCGATTGAACCTGGGTGGTGGAGGCTGCAGTGAGCCATGATCTCACCACTGCACTACAGCCTCAGCAGTAGAGCAAAACCCTGTCTCAAAAAAAAAAAAAAAAAAAAAAAAAAAGGAAGGTAGCTGGGCACGGTGACTCACACCTATAATCCCAGCACTTTGGGAGGCTGAGGCAGGAGGGTATAATCCCAGCACTTTGGGAGGCTGAGGCAGGAGGGTTACTTGAGGTCAGGAGTTCGAGATGAGCCTTGCCAACATGATGACTCTCGTCTCTACTAAAAATACAAAAATCAGCCAGGCATGGTGGTGCGCACCTGTAGTCCCAGCTACTCAGGAGGCTGAGGCAGGAGAATCGCTTGAACCTGTGACGCAGAGGTTGCAGTGAGCCGAGATCACGCCACTACACTCCCACCTGGGTAACAGAGCGAGACTCCATCTCAAAAAAAAAAAAAAAAAAAAAAAAAAGAAGAGCTTAGAAATAATGAGAAGTAATGAGGTAGACATCAGATTATGAGCATCGTAAGTGAAAATATTAACTGTAGGGAGGTGAAAAATGTACTATGATTCTTAACTTGGGGTGCTGGAAATGTGTAGAGATAGTTTTGATTGGTGCATTGACTAGGGACTTCTATAGTCCCTATAGGCAGTGAGCGGGCAGGATTCTGGGATGCTGAATAGTTCATCCCACGCAACGGAGAACTGTCCACCCAGTGGCCAACGGTGCCATGGACCTCCACTGAGAAGTGCTGTCACTCTAAAGCGGGGGCTTTCTAAGTGAGGTCCTTGGACCAGAAGCATCAACATCACCTGCAAACTTGCTAGAAAATGCGCATTACTATGCTCCATCCCAGACCTACTAGATTAAAAATTCTGAGAGTGGGGCCCAGCCATGCAAGTTTTTTTTGTTTGTTTGTTTTCTTGAGACAGAGTCTTGTTCTCATTGCCCAGGTTGGAGTGCAGTGGCACGATCTCAGCTCACTGCAACCTCCGCTTTCCCGGTTCAAGCAATTCTCCTGCCTCAGCCTCCCGAGTAGCTGGGATTACAGGTACCCGCCACCACACCCAGCTAATTTTTTGTGTTTTTAGATACAGGGTTTCACCATGTTGGCCAGGCTGATCTCGAACTCCTCACCTCAGGTGATCCGCCCGCCTCAGCCTCCCAAAGTGGTGGGATTACAGGCACGAGCCACCACACCCGGCCAGCCATGTGAGTTTTAACAAACCTCATAGGTGATTGTGATACACTCAAATTTGAGAACCACTAATCTAAGGCGTACTTAATGTTGGACAAAATAGCATGACTGTTAGCAATATGGCAGGCCCAAAGACTAGTGTTTGGGGTTTGGCGACCTGAGCATCAGGAGGCCTGAATTCTTGTCCTAGGTTGCCTCTGAGAAGGTACGTGACCTTATCCTAGTCATTGGACATCCTTTTCTTCCACCCTCTACCCCATCTGCCCTATAACCTAAGTAAGTTTCCCAAGCTTCAGTTATTCAGGGACAGCCTTTACAACCTTTACAAGTTATACTCTTTCCATTTTCCTCTTAACTTCTACTGGCTTCGTTCCTTTTCTTTAAATGGACCCATTGCTTTTACTTACATTAATTTAAAGGAAACCGTGAAAAATGGTAAATGGAAAACTACTGTCATTTACCACAAATAGAAGGAAACCAATAAAAATAAGCACAATGATAACATCTTTGACTTTTTTTTTTTTTAAAGGAAGAACATCAAGTTTAAAAGAGGTGTTGAAGATATATAAGCCCCAAATCAAGATTTGCTGTTGTAATCAGAAACACTAAATCAGACTGTCAAAGAGCAGCTGAGTCAGTCCTGTTTAGCCCGGTCACAACCTCGCAGAGGGCCTAGAGTCATTTCATTAATGGTTAATGCTTCACTTCCATTCCCTCGGGTTCGTTCATTAGGCTCATTGATCTCCAGGACTCTCTTGCTAAAATAAAGGAAAAAGAATCACAACAACTAACTCTCGCCCATGTGGGTCATGGCTGTAATGTTGAGCTTTCCATAGCATGATGAGACGAATCTAGCAATAAAGCGTATGAATCAGAAGCTTTAGAGAGTGAGTGCTACAGCTTACCATGGTTCCTAAGTCTTCGTTTTCATCTAACCTTTGTTCCAAGATAGGTTTCTCTTTCTTTTCTAAGTTAGGCAATGTCTGAAAAATACAATTCCTTCAAATTACCAAATTGAGTGGTGTTTTACACTACTGTGGAACTGTTTAAGTTCACTTTAGACTTGGGCATTCTTTCTCATGTTTTCTGTTTGATGGTTCTGCCTACTGATTCCTTTTCTCAACCAAAGGAGACTTTGGCTGCCCAAAGGCTGAATTTTGCCTATCAGCATGGCCTGATATGATGATCCACACACAGCTTTGTTAGCGTTATATATATGTGTATGTCAATTTTAAACATCTAAATTTCTAGAATGTGTTAAACCTCCTACACCACCAGGCATTTCAGCAGAACACAAAGGTTGGGGCCGAAAGCACCAAATTACCTCCTTGACACAGCCACCAAGTGACTTCTGGGTTCACAATCCCTGAACTGAAGCATCTTGCTCTATAATGTCTGAACTCATCCAGAAAAGTATTTCTTTCTGTCTTTTCTTTTATTTGTTCTTGAGACAGAGTCCCGCTCTGTGGTCCAAGCTGGAGTGCAGTGGTGCAATCTCAGCTCACTGCAACCTACGCCTCCTGGGTTCAAGTGATTCTCCTGCCTCAGCCTCCTGAGCAGCTGGGATTACAGGTGCATTCCACCATGCCCAGCTAATTTTTGTACTTTTAGTAGAGATGGGGTTTCACCATGTTGGCCAGGCTGATCTCAAACTTCTGACTGCAAGTGATCTGCTCGCCTTGGCCTCCCAAAGTATTGAGTTTACAGGGACGAGCCACCATACCCCACCTCTTTTTTTTTCTTTTCCTTTTTTAGAGACAAGTTCTCTCTCTGTCACCAAGGTGGGAGTGCAGTGGTGCCATCATAGCTCTCGGTTACCCCAAACTCCTGGTCTCAAGGGATACCCCTACTCAGCCCTCCAAGTGCATGAGCCACCACACCTTGATATTTAAAAATAAATTTTGTACAGCTGGGGTCTCACTCACGATGCTGCCCAGGCTGGTCTCAAACTCCTGCCTCAAGGAATGGATCCTCCTGTGTTGGCCTCCTAAAGTGTTGGAAATTACAGGCATGAGCCACCACACCCAGCCTCAGAAAAGTATTTCTAAGAGTAGCTAAAGTCTGGAGGCTGATCAGATGGTGAGCAATTTGAAAGAATGTTTCTACTTCCTCTTCCGTTGCTAAGAAACACACTGACAATGACTAGATTTATAACTTTCAAAAATACAAGGAGACTTGGTGGTGAGGTTTTAAAAATCTACTCGAATAGTAGATTTTAAAGAAAGTTGAAAAATCCCTTTTAATTCTAATATCATGGTAAACTTGAACCCCAGAAGTTTTCGGAAGAAATCCAAATCAACTGACCTATCTGCCTATGCTGCCCTATCTTTATCTGACTTGTTAATAAGATTTCATCAAGAATTTTACTTTCGTCCGGGCGCGGTGGCTCAAGCCTGTAATCCCAGCACTTTGGGAGGCCGAGACGGGCGGATCACGAGGTCAGAAGATCAAGACCATCCTGGCTAACACGGTGAAACCCCGTCTCTACTAAAAAATACAAAAAACTAGCCGGGCGTGGTGGCGGGCGCCTGTAGTCCTGGCTACTCGGGAGGCTGAGGCAGGAGAATGGTGTGAACCCGGGAGGCGGAGCTTGCCGTGAGCTGAGATCACGCCACTGCACTCCAGCCTGGGCAACAGAGCGAGACTCCGTCTCAAAAAAAATAAGAATTTTACTTTCACAAATTTTATTTTCTGGAAGATGGAACCAGTGTCTCCCCAAAGCCTATACACTATCAAAAGAATCTCAGCAACTTAGTAGCCACTGCTCCAGGTAACAATTGAAGCCCCTCTTTCGATCGCTTGGAACTCTGAACTCACCTGTCCACAGATATTTGCTCTATTTTTCTTTAACAGTTCGGAAGAGTGTTCATCTTCCCTTTGCTTAGTGGAAGGGGTACTCTTTTGGTGTGATTCAGTTTCTCTTTGGGGAGGCTGGATGCATTTGTCACACTTAAATTCTACATTTGGGGTCAACTGCACGGTCTCTTCCTTTTCACAGTTCCGCTTAAAAAGGAGCCTTCCGTTGGCAATGACAATGGAGGCAAACCTCTTGATGTCTTCCGGAAGCATCCGTGCCACCATGACAAACCTCTCAAGGTCATCTGGGCTGTTCTGGACATTGTCAGTCACAAGAACTTCCAGAGGCCAATTGCGATTATCCAAGCTTTCCTTTGTTTCAAGCAGGATGTGGTAGGAGTTGGAGATTGTCTGCATCTGGTCCCGAATTCTCTTCTGAAGGTTACTGTCAGTGAGGTTACAGGCAGTCCCATGGACTCCTCGGGCAAAATCCAGAAATTCTCTTACAGATTCTTCTATGTGCTCAGTGGACCTGTGGATTGCATCAATGTTGGCCTCCAGATAGTCTCGGAATCTCCATTTCCTACTGACAAAGAGCATCAGGCCAGCGACAGAGCTAACCACCTTGTGCTGCAGAGACATCACTGTCTCCTTGGCCACATCCAGGTCCAAGGAGAGCTCCTTTGCTGACTCCTCCGAGGAAGAGCTGGAGGAGGAGTCGGTGGATGTGGTGGAGCACGAAGAAACGACGCTGGCTCTGCTGTCAGAACTGGAACCTGATAATCTGTCCAGTTCAGGAGATCGGGAAGTTGTCCGTCTGCAGAACCGTGAGGAATTATGGCCCGTGGAATTCTCTGACACCTCCTTGGCTTTCGCCAGCTCCTTCTCAGCCTGAGAAACACTCGATATTGCTTTAGGGATGTCATAAATATTGGGCTTGGTGTTCTGCTGTTCCACTCGGGGAATCAGAAAGCTTGAAGGAACCTTGTAGCTGACATCTTCATCCAAAGGAAATGTGTCTCTGGGTACAAGAAAGCCATAAGAAGGAATTTCTGGAAGACTGAGTTTTTTCTGCATGGGCACATTGGTATTCAGTTGTGGAGTGAGGGACCTGGCTCTGCCACTTGCAGGATTGTGGAAAGTGGAGCCGGAACTGGGGAGAGCGTGGGGCCTTGATTCTTCTGCAAAGGTGGGGAGAGGCGTGTTTCTGACGCTGGCCTTTCCTGGAGACACTGGAGTGTCATAAACCCATTCTGATTTCTGAGGACTTGGTAATGTGCTGTAGCCGCCTTTTCTTAAGGTAGTCACTGATATCAGGGGAACACCCTGCCCCTGTGGAAGAACCACACATAGTTGCCCGGGTTAGTAGCTTTCAAAAGAAGGTACGAGTGCCTCGTTTAAATCTCATCGTCATTTCCCCGCTCAAGTTCCTTCAGTGGCTCCCCATTTCCACTCAAGGTCCTTCACAATTCTTTTGAGCCTCATTTCTTTCCACTTCCACCACGCTGACCCCACCTTGACTGCCACCATTTGCTTACAGGTCCAGCCACCCAAGCTGTTTACTTTTCCCTGAACTCAGAACACTGACTCATGCCACTGTATTTCATTTTACCCAAACTGGTTTCTCTGCTCTAAAAGCCCTTGCAACCCTTTCTTTTCCATCCACCAAACTCCTATGCATCCCCCTGACACGGCTGAAATGCCAGCTTTCTTGTAAGATGTTCCCTAATGACCTTGGGTGTAAGCGTGTCTGTGGGACACATGTGATAGAATCCGATTATAAACATAGATCACACAGATTTCAAATAAAGTCATTCGCCCAATACAGATAAAAGTGTACTGTATCACAGCACGCCCCTGAGGTCTGTCATAATAAGAAGCCATTACACAATTTTGCTCTGTGCCAGGCACTGTCCCAAGTCCTTTGCAGGATTATCTTACTTAATACTCTCAGCCCATAAAAACAGAGAATTTAAAAGACATATCCCAAACCACATAATTAGTCCTATTCTTGAACACAAACTCAATGAGAGGTTTTACCTCAAATGCAGTAAGGTCTTTGTTATGAGGAATTTGCATTCTAATTTTTGACTGAGCTAATAACATCTTTTTTTTTTTTTTTTTTTAACTTTTATATTTTAATAGAGACAGGGTTTCACCATGTGGGCCAGGCTGGTCTTGAACTCCTGACCTCGAGCGATCCACCCACCTCAGCCTCCCAAAGTGCTGGGATTACAGGCGCCTGCTACCACGCCTGGCCAACATTTGTGTTTTTAGTAGAGATGGGGTTTCGCCATGTGGGCCAGGCTGGTCTCAAACTCCTGACCTCAGGTGATCCACTCGCCTCAGTCTCTCAAAGTGCTGGGATTACAGGCTTGAGCCACTGCACCTGGCCCCAAGCTAATAACATTTCTGAGAGGATTTTTATGTGTTCATGACACCGCACCTTAGCACCTCTTCATACTTACACTTGCTTGGCCGGCTGGGGAATGGAGTCCTGCCTTCTTGGGGCTGGCTGGTATGTCATATAGCTGCTGCTTCTCTGGCTCCTGGGGAAAGACCACAAAGACAGACCACTTGACTGTTTCTTTCCTAATGGCTACACATCATGAACGCTGCCTATTCCAGTGTTTTTTCCCAAAGGAAGACACAAATTCCTGAAGACTTTTTGGTGCTTTTGGTCATGATGCTCTAATGGTGGAAATCTAGGTGACGGGTCCCCAACCTTCCTCGTCTGAGGCAGGGCAGGGGACATTACAGTCCTAAGTTCTTCTCATAACAGGGTATACATTCAACATTGGACTTTGTGCTTTAAAAAGAGACTTCTCAACTGGGCGCGGTGGCTCACGCCAGTAATCCCAACACTTGGGGAGGCTGAGGCAGGCAGATCACCTGAGGTCGGGAGTTCGAGACCAGCCTGGCCAACATGGTGAAACCCTGTCTCTACTAAAATATTAAAAAAAAAAAAAAAAAAAAAAAAAAAAAGATGTTATTAGCTCGGTCAAAAATGAGCCTGGCCAACATGGAGAAACGCTGTCTCTGTTGAAAATACAAAATTAGCCTGGTGTGGTGGCGCATGCCTGTAATCCCAGCTACTCGGGAGGCTGAGGTAGGAGAATCGCTTGAACCCGGGAGGTGGAGGTTGCGGTAGGCCGAGATTGCACCATTGCACTCCAGCCTGGGCAACAGGAGCAAAACTCCATCTCAAAAAAAAAAGAGACTTCTCAACCAAAGGTTGCTGGGTGGGAGGGGGCAGGGGCAACAGAGCCTAATTTAAGCAGTTGCCCAAATTAAAAATGGTAATTTATCTTAAGTTCATCTTAAAATTAAGCCAGAGAATAAATGAGATTGAGACCCAGTATGTCTTCTTTCTTTTTCTCAGTAGAAATTTTCCTGTGTTTATCACTCATATGTATTCTGCAAATATTTAATGAGTGCCCACTAATGACCAGACACTAAGCTGGATGACACTGTGCACATCATGAGAGCAATAAAAACAGGGTGTGAGAGACTCATTTGATAAATGTGCATCTTAGCAATGACCTAAGTGCCAGGCATGGTGCTTCCTAAAAATCTAATTGTCACTCCCCTGCTCAAACTCCTTCAGTGGCTTGAGATATGTATATGATATAACATATTATATATATAACATGTACAGTAATTACAAAACATATATATTAGGATACAAAAAACAGGTTACAAATTCCAAAGCAAGGCAAGAGAGCACCAAAACAGGTTTTGCAAATAAAGAGAGAAATAGTTGGACATTGGAAGGTTTCTTTAGAGGGATTTGGGCTATGAGTCTCCTGAGGGCTCTCCTCAGCTGGGAAGTGGGGTGTGGTGTAGCGGGGGTTGCCTTTCACTCCCCAAAAGCAAACCATCAAGTGCTCCCACGGGATCATTCAATGACTTGAGTTGTCTCCCCTGAGCTTGGGGTCACAGTGGACGGGGGCTGACTCTGGCTTGGGAAAGGTGAAAAGAGAGAGGTCGGCAGCCATGTCCTGGATGGCCAGTTCTCAGGGTTAGAGTGGCACCGTGCTGTGGTTGGCCTGTTCTCAGGGTCAGGACCAGGGGGAGGAGAGCAAAGCAGTTACCTTGGGCACAACATTAAGACGGCACCAAAAAAACTCAGTCATCAAGGTAAATACTATTTAAAATGCAATATTTTAAAAAATCATAATGCAAAAAAAATCATGAACAAAATGTCACACTTTTACATAAAGACAGGGTCTAGTGGGGCTGGGATTAGGGCAAGGTGAGTGAAGTGAGTCATACAAGTGTGTCTTCATTGATAACTTTTGGTTTTTTTTTTGAGACGGAGTCTCACTCTGTGGCCCAGGCTGGAGTGCAGTGGCGCGATCTCAGCTCACTGCAAACTCCGCCTCCCGTGTTCACGCCATTCTCCTGCCGTCAGCCTCCCATGTAGCTGGGATTATAGGTGCCCGCCACCATGCCCAGCTACTTTTTGTATTTTTAGTAGAGAAAGGGTTTCACCATGTTGGCCAGGCCGGTCTCAAACTCTTGACCTCAGGTGGTCCACCTGCCTCAACCCCCAAAGCGCTGGGATTACAGGCATGAGCCACTGCGCCTGGCCCATTGATAACTTTTGCACCCAAAGCAAGCACCTGCGCTCCTGGAGTCTATCATGGCAAAGGGAGCTTGTGTGTTTGTCATGGACCAGGCATGGCTCACACAAGAGCTGGAGCAAGAGCCAGGGAAGGATGGCTCGGGGAATCTCAGGAGGATGTGGCTGGAGATGACCTGCTTGCCACAGAGCTAAGGGGGGAGCCAGCAGCCAGAGGAGGTGCATTTGTCCACTTGGAGGGACTTGCAGGTAAGAGATGCTCAGCAAGGAGGTGAGGGGTAGGAGGTAGAGGGCAGAGGACATGGCACTTACACAAATGCCCCAGAAGAGAATCAGCTTGCCACACTGGCCACTGCTATTAGCACCCCTGCCAACAGAACCAGGTGAGCAGGGCCTTTCTCCCTGCCTGCCTCTTGCAGCCCTGCAGGAGTCTGAGACCATCCAGTGAGTGAGAAAGGGTAGAAAACTGAGATGGTGAAACAGCAGATAACTTAGGCAGTCCCTGGAGCCCAGCCTAGCAGACAGGCCCAAGCTGGGCAGCAGGAGCTTTGGCTTTAAATGAACTAGAAAGTTTGATTATTGCCTAGACAATTAAATTCCTCAACTGACCTGGCGAGGCTAAAGTGACCTTTTTTCAAATTTTTTATTTTTATTTTTTTCAGACAGAGTCTTGCTCTGTCATCCAGGTTGGAGTGCAGTGGTGTGATCTCGGCTCATTGCAACCTCCACCTCCTGGGTTCAAATGATTCTCCTGCCTCAGCCTCTCTAGTAGCTGGGACTACAGGCATGAACCACCATACCCAGCTAATTTTTGTATTTTTAGGAGAAACGGGGTTTCACCACGTTGGCGAGGTGGTCTCGAACTCCTAGCCTCAAGTGATCCTCCTGCCTCGGCCTCCCAAAGTGCTGGGATTATAGGCGTGAGCTGCTGCGCCTGGCCTAAAGTGACTTATTACCTGTGAGTGTCCAGGAAGTCATAGAGCCTGCTTGGAATTCTATTTGGACAGGAACTGTTGTTCTAAATCCTGGCTTCATAGTACAATCACCTGAGAGCTTTTAATAATCCTGATGTTTGGGCCCCACCTAGACCTGATTCCACAGTCTCTGGGGTTGGGGCACAGGCACCAGGACAGCTAAAGCTCTCAGATGCTTTCACATACAACAGAGGTTGGGAGCTACTGATCTCAATAGCAGATGGGTGGGGAGAACGCCACTGCAGAGCATTTGGATGGGCTGAGAAAGGAGCAAAGCTATTTTTTGATTACATGAAGCATGTCTTACAAATTTGATGTTCCCCTTATATAAAAACAAGTTAAAAAAAAAAACAACTAAAATTTCTTCCCCTAGAGATAATCAATGTTAAGATAATCAATGATAATCCATGTTAAGACTGTGGTGCATATCCTTCAAAACATCATTTTAAAAAATGTGTGAGTGTGTATATGTACACACACACATACATTAAATATCTATTATAAATAATGGCTGGGCACAGTGGCTTATGCCCATAATCCCAGCACTTTGGGAGGCTGAGATGGGAGGATTGCTTGAGGTCAGGAGTTCGAGACCAGCCTGGTCAACATAGCAAGACCCCATCTCAAAAAGAAAGAGAAAAAACCATCTATTATAAATGACAAGTAAAAATTTCAAAATATTCAGAACTCAAGTAGTCACAATGTTTTCTAGAGCAGGACTGGGCTCCATGGGTAAAAAGGAGGTTATGAAGTTGGCCTCTGAGTGGTGATGTGTATTCTGGAGGCTGAGCCCCTGGCCTCCATGGTAATGCTGAAATGCAATGTGAGTGTGAGGTCAAGAGTCCCAGACTCTGGGCGCAGAGGTCTGGGTGATGCGGGGCCCCAGAACAAGGCTCACCTTCAGGACCACAGGGCCCCGGTGTTGGGTAGGCACATCATACACCTGGGAAGGCAGAGTCGGCAGTGAGGCCCGGGTAGGTCTGGGAAGCGTGATGATGGCCTTGGAGAGAAAGGAGGAGAGCAGAGGAAAAGGAAATGTCACTCTGATGATCACACTCAGGTTCAAAGTCATCTCCCCAAAAGCAGAGACAGTTGGGTGGACACTGCTGAGGGAGTCACCTGGCACCCCCGATGGCAGGCTCTTCACTCTCAAGACAGCAGGGTACGGGTGGGAGGCTCCCTGGTGGAGGCAGCCTTCCTTGCAGGTGGCCCACAATCTCCTGAATCTGCCTCACCTGAGAAGTTCACCGGAAGCAGGTTAACATGCATATTCTTGGGCCCATGCTGGTTGGACGGAGTCTCTAGGTGTTGAGTGGGGGCCAGGAACCTGCAGCGTTAACAAGCTTGCCAGGTGATTCTGATGTTCTCTAGCGACCAGGAGGCTGTGACTGTGATACTGGGCTATTCATCTGCATTCATCAAGCGAGGCTGAGGCTGGAGACGTGCACGCAATAGGCAGAGGGGACCTTAAGAATGTAAGGTGGAGGGACCAACAAGGTCTGGGAGGAAACTGCGGCCTGAGAGCTGTCTAAGGACTCGTCACCTGGGCTGAGGAAGGGAAGCAGGAGGTGACCAGATGAGCTGCAGCTGGCAGCTCTTGCTGGCAGCAGTGGGAGGCAGAAGAGAACCTGGCAATGTGAAAGTGATGGAGAGGAGTGAGGGAGGGAAGGAGGGAGGGATGGAACGGGAAAGGTTAACAGGGAGCAGGTCAGTTAAGGAGTTTGAATTTTATCCTACAAAGGATGGGATTGACCATCCAATTTATATATGTATACTTTTTTTTTTTTTTTTTTTAGGTGGAGTTTCGCTCCTGTTGCCCAGGCTGGAGTGCAATGGCGTGATCTCAGCTCACTGCAACCTCCACCTCCCGGGTTCAAGCGATCCTCCTGCCTCAGCCTCCCAAGTAGCTGGGACTACAGGCACGCACCACCACGCCAGGCTAATTTTGTGTTTTTAGTAGAGACAAGGTTTCACCGTATTGGTCAGGCTGGTCTTGAACTCCCGACCTTAGGTGATCCGCCCACCTTGGCCTCCCAAAGTGCTGGGATTACAGGCATGAGCCACTGCGTTCGGCCCCGATTTATATTTTATTGAGAGCACTTGGCCAGTTATTGCTCAAGCCATTTTGGGAAACATGGTCTCAGCCATGGAGTCTGGGTCTGTGAATGGGAACTTCAGATTCAAGTTAATCCTCCAGAGCTCAATGATGTCGGCTCAATGGTGGGTACCACACTGGGTGCCACAGAGCAGCTTCCGAACCCAGCCAGGGATCCGAGTGCCCTAGGGAATTTTAAAATAATACAGCTTCCAAGGCTCCCACCCAGACCTCCTGAACTAGAACGTCTCTACAAGCGCACTAGGAATGAGCGATTTTTTCTAGAGTAGAGGATGCTGTCTACCACGGGCTTAAAGTCTAAGAGGGAAATGAGGTCTGAGCACACCAAGGACACAGACTGGGAAACGAGACAGGGCCTGGAGGAGAGGGCAGCGTGAAGCTCCGGAGTCCAGGACAGGGAGAATGTACTTCCCATTGGGGTCCCAAGGAGCTGTTGCTGAGTAGGGGGCTTTCTAAGTTGGCTCAGGGGGTGGTTAGGGTTTCAATGTGCGGAGCTGAGGGAGGGGAATGCAGGCGGAGGAGCAGTTTCTGAGGACTGGGTGTCCCGAGGATGCAGCACTGGGAATGTACGTGCTAGATTTATCTGTTTGTTTTTGGTGAGTGGATGCGTACGGCTTGGATGGTAAACATTAGCACACAGTGTAAAAACCCACCCTGCCATTCACCTGGCTAGACTCGCGGACACAGATAAAGAAGCTGCAATGCAAACAGGATGAACATTTCTTCCAAGGACACGCTGCAGCTGTCACATGTCAAAACAGCCCCCTTCGTTGAGTGACGACTGCTTTCTTACTCCCTGAGAAACTTGGTTCCCTAAAATCCTAGGCTCTGGAAGCACAGCCCTCCAAAGTGCTATCAGTAAGAATGAAACATCCCACTCTCGCCTGGGGGATCCGAGTCATTGACAGAGAAGCAGCCTTGATTCCCAGGCCCTCATGTAGCACTTCAGACAAGGGGTTTCCGGGCCCAGCACTTCCCATCTATCGCCGCTTGCTTTGTGGTTCCCAAGGGGAGAGTGGCCCTCGTCCTGCCTGCACACTGCCCTATTTTGCCCAGAGCCTATCAAGACACGGCTTCGCTTAGATTTCACCTAAACCCCGCCTTTCCCCATCCCATCATGATGCTGTTTTCCTGTTTGTGAGCTGCCTCGTGGTTCCTCTGCTCTGTGATCTTCTTCTTCACGCTCAGTAAACCTGACTTTGTTCCTGGTGGTCTCGGGCTGATTGGTCTAGGTGGACAAGCCCATCAGTGGTTTCCCATTGCATTTTGAATGAAATCCAAGCCTTTTTTTTTTTTTTTCGGAGACGTAGTCTCACTCTGTCATCTAGGCTAGAGTGCAGTGGTGCCATTTTGGCTCACTGCCACGTCCGCCTCCCGGGTTCAAGCGATTCTCCTGCCTCAGACTCCCGAGTAGCTGGGATTACAGGTGCCTGCCACCACGCCCAGCTACTTTTTTGTATTTTTAGTAGAGACAGGATTTCACCATGTTGGCCAGCCTGGTTTTGAACTCCTGACCTCAAGTGATCCACCTGCCTCGGCCTCCCAAAGTGGAAGGACTACAGGCGTGAGCCACCGCACCAGGTCAGAAATCCAAGCTTCTTACCCAGTCTGACAGGCTATGCCCCCGCCAAACCCAGGGACCTTATGTCCTGGACCACGGCTGTCACCTCCCTCCCAGCTCTCAGTTATTTGAACACACCAAGCTTTCTCCACCTACAGACCCTTTCCAAATGCTGTCCCAAGGCCTATTCCTCCCCATGGCTTCAGGCCCATTTTATTTTGATGGCTGACTGTGGGGTCCCCTATGCCTATAAGGGCAAATCCACAGAGCAAAGGGACTTTCCTGTGCATGACATTTCAGATGGAAGGAAGCCAGCTCAAAAATGCCCAGTGCTTCTTGGAAAACGTAGGCCCAGTCCCAGTATGGTGATCAATTAAGGAACACGTTTGAGAAACACGGTTTCGAAAGGTTTAGGGAGACAGAAGGAAACTCCAGTTTAGGAACTAGTGGATCCAAGAGCAGTTTCACCAGGAAATCTGGCCCTTTTCTCTTGAAATACAAGAGTTCCTACTAAGCTTAAACTGAAATCAAATATGTTCTTGATGTGGTGGTTTTTTTTTTTTTTTTTTAAATTAGGCCAGCACATTATATTAAGGAAGTTGGGATAAAAAATAAAAGAAAGCTCAAAATAGTGGTTACCCTAGTGGGGAAGTGACAGAGAGAAGGCACTGGAGGCTTCTGGGGTGCTAGTTTTGTTGTTTCATGGTCTGGATATAAGTTACTGATCTATCACTGAGCATCTCTAGGTGAAATTTCAATAAAGTGTTCATCAGAAAGAATAGTATCAGTCACAGAGTCAGGTGAAAGAAGATCAAGGAATAAGGGCTCTGTTTTGGGGGGTGATGGAAGTTGTCCTTCATCAGCTGTGTGACTGCACGAGCAGTTTCACCTCCCTGGGAATTAATGTCCTCATTTGTAAAATGAAGGGTTGTTCCAATCTAAAGATATGCAGAGATCTCACCCAGTGATAGAGATGTCTCATTCTGACACAGACGCCTTTCTTAGGACAACTTGGGAAAAATGACATGTTTCCACCTTCTCGGACGTTAATTTGGGGCCACTCTTAGTCTACAGACTGTCAACACAGATATAAAAAGGAGTCCGTGAAATGCCTCACAAAAGACTGTGTTCTAAGCCTGTGAAATTGCCATGGGAAAACAGTTCAAAACCAGTGGCTCAGAGTTGCCCGGTCTACCACCAGTCACTTCCATTTGGAATGTATTTTCTGGGCAGTTTAGCTTCAGGGTTAATGGTTAGATGACCTGAGCAGGGAGGAGATGCCTGCCTTTTCTGTGGATCAGAAAATCCTTAACTGATTGTTAACTGGTCTTCAAGTTCTTCTAGCTCCTTCCTTCTCAGAGTAGAGGAAGAAGAGAAGTATTTAGAAAAACCAAAAGGTACAACTGAAGGTGATTTTAGAAAAGATGGGGTCCAACCTTCTCCCAATACAGAGGAGGAAGGAGAAACACAGAGGGTGTTGGGAGGTCCCCAATCACCCAGTGCAACATTGGCTGCCCCAGAAGCCAAGTGAGATGGCATTCCTGACTTGTAAGCCACAGACCACCTCTCTTGCTGAGAGACTCCAAGCACAGAGACGGCAAGAAATTAAAAATTATTATTTTTTGAGACAGAGTTTTCCTCTTGTCACCCAAGCTGGAGTGCAGTGGTGTGATCTCAGCTCACTGCAACCTTCACTTCCCGGGTTCAAGTGATTCTCCTGCCTCAGCCTCCTGAGTAGTTGGGACTACAGGTGTGCCCCACCACATATGGCTAATTTTTGTATTTTTAGTAGAGATGGGGTTTCACTATGTTGGCCAGGTTGGTCTCAAACTCCTGACCTCAGGTGATCCACTTGCCTCGGCCTCCCAAAGTGCTGGGATTACAGGTGTGAGCCACCGTATCCAGCCAAGAAATTAAAACAATTTTTAAGTAAATAGGCTGGTTGCAGTGGCTCACTCCTGTAATCCCAGCACTTTGGGAGGGCGAGGTGGGCAGATCACCTGAGGTCAGGAGTTCGAGACCAGCCTGGCCAACATGGCAAAACCCTGTCACTACTAAAAATACAAAAAAAAAAAAAAAAAGAAAAGAAAGCCAGGTGTGGTGGTGGGAGCCTGTGTTCCCAGCTACTAGGGAGGCTAAGGCAGGAGAATCTCTTGAACCCAGGAGGTGAAGGTTGCAGTAAGCCTAGATCACGCCACTGCACTCCAACCTGGGTGACAGAGCAAGACTCTGTCTCAAAAAAAAAAAAAAAAAAAAATATTTTTTTTTTTAAGTAAATAAATAGGAAGTGAGGGAAGGAAGGGAGCAAACTTGTAGGTAGGGCAGACATGGAAGGAACTTAAGGAAGGAAAACAAGGCAGGAAATTCCCCTGGGGGGTTTTACTGTGGCCGCTTGAGAACCCTGCTCAGTGGTTAAAGGGACCCCCCCGAATTTCCTTGTGGTTTCTGTTGTTTGCTGCAGCCTCCACAAGCAAGGGCTCAAATAGTTGATGCACTTAAGGACAAATCTCATTGCTAATGCCCTGATCATTTTTCAAAGTTAAGTTTCAATGGTAAACTCATCTTTCCTTTCACACGGATGTCAATCTAGCAGTTGATAGCGGACTCCACATTTTTGAAACCTTATGTTGTGTTTGGTCAATTTCGTTCATGCAACAGATATTTACTAAGTACCTTGTAGGAGCCTGGCACTGTACTGAGTGGCATGAGAAGGGAGGAGGTGCCAGCCTTTTCTGTGGATCTGAAAACCCTTAAATGGTTGTTAACGGGTCTTTAAGTGTCCTCTGGTCAACCGTCAGAGGACAGTGCATCTGTTTTCCTTTCTGGGAGAGGAAGGAATTGCTATTGATTTTTTTGTTTTTTCCTTTCATGGCTTTGGAAGAAATTCAAATTAACTTCAGCTAATGTCACTTGTTCTTAAAAGAAACCTCAGCAAAGCCCTGCTCTGAGTCAGCTGCTCAGACAGCAGCTGAGCATGCCAGGCCTAGATTGGGGCCAGTTGTTCCAGAAAGAGCATTAGTGTCCACCTCGTCGACTGATTCAGAAGGCTTCACCAGCTTCCTCCTGGTGTTTGGAACAAGCGCCTGTGCTGGCAGCTGTTCTATGTAACAACTGTCTGGTTCTATGTCTTGTAGCCCAGGGAGTTAGAAAATGTAAAGTATTCAAAATCTTCTAAGGAATCAACACCTTCCTGTTTGAAGACAACCTTGGAAGCTGGTGTGGAGAAGGCCTGAATGGTGAGTAGCACATTCCTAGGGCCCCCACAGCACATGCATCAGGGAGAGTGGCCTTTCCCTGCACGCAGACCTTGCCAAGACCCTCTGCCAGAGCTGTGGCCGGGTGGGAAGTGTCATAGGAGCTGAAAGCAAAGCATCTGATGGCAGGAAATGCCTGCAGTGACTGAGGCCTGTGCACATCTGCTCCGCATCTCAACACCTCATGAAGGCCAGGGCTTTGGGGGAAATAGCGCATTCTTTCTCTCCTTCCTTACTTTAATTCTTTTCCTTATTAAAAAAAGTTTTCATTCTGCATTTGTTTTATTATTTTTTAAGACAGGGTTCCGGTCAGTCACCCAGGCTGGCGTGCAGGGGCACCATAATAATAGCTCTCTGCAGTTTCAATCTCCTGGGCTCAAAAGGTCCTCCTGCCTCAGCCTCCTGAATAGCTGGGACTATAGGTGCCTGCTGCCATGCCTGCTGCCATGCCTGCCTAATTGTTTTTTATTAGCAGTAGTAAAGATGAGGTCTCACTATGTTGCCCAGGCTAGTCTCAAACTCCTGGGCTCAAGCGATCCTCCTGCCTTGGCCTCCCAAACTGCCGGGATTACAGGAATGAGCCACCAAGCCTAGCCCGTTCTACATTGAATGAATGCTCTTTTCCCTCTGTTTTTAAAAACTGATACTTTAGGCCAGGCATGGTGGCTCACACCTGTAATCCCAGCACTTTGGGAGGCTGAAGCAGGAGGACTGCTGCAGGCCATGAGTTCGAGGCTGAAGAGAACAGTGATCGCACCACTGCATTCCAGCCTGGGAGACAGAGCGAGACCCAGTCTCAAAAAAACAAACCAACTGATATTTTAAAAAATTACGGATGTCATACACATTCAATATGACATAAAAATCAACTTCCTAATTTGATTGTTTGTCAGATATGTATCGAGCACCTACCCCGGGCCAGACCTGGTCCCAGGTGCTGGGGACACAGGAGTGAATAAAATAAAGGCCCCAACTTACTGCCCTCTTTCACTTTCTCTTTAACCAGTTCCCCTTTTTGGGGTAACTATCCCTGGAGCGTGTTCTTCTCAGTCTCAGTGTGAGAGCACGCATGCATACACACACTCATATACAGAATTCCTTTTTCGAGTTTTTTGTTTGTTTGTTTTTGAGATAGAGTTTCACTCTCGGTGCCCAGGCTGGAGAGCAATGGTGCGATCTCAGCTCACTGCAACTTGTGCTTCCCAGGTTCTAGTGATTCTCCTGCCTCAGTCTCCTGAGTAGCTGGAATTACAGGCGCCCGCCACCATGCCCGGCTAATTTTTTGTATTTTTAGTGGAGACGGAGTTTCACTATGTTGGCCAGGCTGGTTTCGAACTCCTGACCTTGTGATCTGCCCGCCTTGGCCTCCCAAAGTGCTGGGATTACAGGAATGAGCCATTGTACCCTGCCTCTTTTTTGAGTTTATATCTGTTTGGTTTTTGTTTAAATAGATCTTTCTTTCCTCTTATAAATACCTCATCTTTTTTTTTTTTTTTCAACTGCACAGCAGCTTGCTGTGGTGATATGCCAAGATAGGTATAACCAATCCAACTGTTAATAAATATTTAGGCCTCTTTGAGTTTTCTATGCCATAATGGCTACAGCCTCCTCATCCAGACATATATTTGCCTGCTTGTATATTTCCATAGCAGTTCTAGAAATAAAATTTCTGCATTGAAGGGGATATACTTTTTTTTTTTTTTTTTTAAGACAGGATCTCACTGTCACCGAGGCTGGAGTACAGTGGCACAATCAGAGCTCACTGCAGCCTCGACCTCCTGGGCTCAACCGCTCTTCCTGCCTCAGCCTCCCACTGAGTAGTTGGGATTACAGGTGTGTGCCACTATGCTGGCTAATTTTTAAATTTTTGGTAGAGACAGGGTCTCACTATGTTGCCCAGGCTGGTCCCGGAACTCTGAGTTCAAATGATCCTCGTGTCTCGTCCTCCCAAAGTACTGGGAATATAGATAGGTTCAAACCACCGTGCCCAGCCTGGAATATACATGTTAAACGTGATGTATAACTTCTTGCCTCTGAACCCATGGAAACCCCATCCTGCCGTTTGTCACTGGGAGTCCTGGTGATCCTTCGTCCTGTGAAAAGGCCGCCATGAACATCTCCAGTGCCTTCCCACACAGCTCAGCTGAGCGTTCCATTTGCCACAGACTGCGCCCAGCCTTGGAGAGCTGGGGAATCACAGCGGGGGCAAGGGTGTCCACGACAAGCGGGTGGAGGCTGCTGAGTTCTCCCTCCCAATCTGGCACACAAGCTCCCCGAGCGTGATCGCCAGTGATCTGGGCTCCCATTCTGCATGTTTGATCTGGAGGACACCCATGACTCTGCATGTTTGATCTTCTGCATGTTTGATCTGGAGACAACGGCGACTTGCATGTTTGATTTGGAGGACACCTACGATCGTATGTTTGATTCGGAGGCACGCTCCTGGGCGACTTCGTATGTTTGATCTGGAGGACACCATGACTGCATACTTGATCTGGAGGACACCACATCGCATGTTTGATCTGGAGGAACGGCGACGGACACCCATGACTCTGCATGTTTGATCTGGAGGACACCCATGACTCAAGGGGTAGTTAGGCCCTGGGTGTTTCCATACCCCTCAACCCATGTCTAGTAGTTGGAGTATGCGTACCTGTTTTGGAAAGCTGAGAGTCTTTTCACAGATGATTCTGGCACTGGTGGGAGGGTCGGGGAATTCATAGACTTGGGCAGAAGGGGGCTGGGGCCCCTCCACCCAACTCCTCATGTGCTCATAAACGGGGCCTGGAGTGGGAGGGCAGGGTAGAGTGGGCACCTGATAGGTCTCCTCTGAGCTGGCAGGAGCTTCTTCCAGGCCTCTCAGGAATGGGGGGCACGGCCTGTCTGCAGTGACCTCCGTGAGGATTTGGAGGCGGTTGGCAGGGGCCAGACCTTGCCTTCCGTGGAGCAAACACTTCCACCAACCCTCGCTTTCTGGTACGTGTTGCTCCAGAATGGTCAGGATGTCCCCTCTGCTGAAAGCCAGCTCATCAGAGCAGTCAGGGCAGTTGTCATAAAGCGCCCTGGCCAGGAGTGCCTGCGGGTGGAGAGGGGAGAAGAGAATCTGCTGTTAGCACCATGGCCAGTGACCGCTACACCAGTCCCACTCACTTAGAAAGCTTAATGCAAATTCATAATGCCCTTTCATTGCATTTCTTCCACCCCAGAGGCTCTTGTCCCTGCTCTTTGCCTGATTTGTTCCTTCACATCCTTGGGGTCTAAGTGAAATGTCACATCCTCAGGGCAGACTTCCCTGTATCCTGAGATGAGGTTGCATGGTCCTAATATGCTTTCATGGCCCTGTTTGTTTATGGTTTTGAGACAGGGTCTCACTCTGTTGCCAAGGCTGGAGTGCAGTGGTGAAATCTTGGCTCACTGCAGCCTCGACTTCCCAGGCTCAGGCAGTTCTCCCACCCCAGCCTCCCAAGTAGCTGGGACTACACATGCGTGCCACCACACTGGGCTAAATTTTGTATTTTTGTAGAGAAGGGGTTTTGTCATTGCTCAGGCTGGTTTCCAACTCCTCTGTCACAGAGCTGTTTTAATTTGTGGAAGTCATGACCTTTGTATATATACGTATATAACATATATACATATATGTATGTATATGTATATATACTATCATACATATGTGTATATATGTTTATGTATGTACATATGTGTATATGTATGTATATATGTATCTGTATGTATATATGTGTATATATGTATCTGTATGTATATATGTATACACATATATACATATATACACATACTATATATGATGGGTTGATACATATATGTACACCACATATATCCTATATATATAGCAGTCCATTATATATTGTGTATACATATGGGTGTCTCTTTCTCTGTCATGTACAGGTGCCTGGCATTTAGTAAGTGCTTGGTGCAGGCAGCTGTGACTGTCATTACTATTAGGTCGCTTTTTGTCTGGTCTTTGCTATTTTCCTTCTGAATTGGATTGGCAGTTCTGTGACTGCTGGGCCCACATCTCACTTGGCTATTCTGTCCCCAGTGTCAGGCCCAGGCCCAGGTACACAGAAGATGCTCAATACATATTCATTAATAAGTGAACGACAAGAGGCTGGGCGCAGTGGTTCAGGCCTGTAATCCCAGCACTTTGGGAGGCCGAGGAGGGCAGATCACTTGAGGCCAGGAGTTCAAGACCAGCCTGACCAACATGGTGAAACCCTGTCTCTACTAAAAATACAAAAATTAGCGGGGCATGATGGTATGTGCCTGTATTCCCAGCTACTTGGGAGACTGAGGCAGGAAAATCGCTTGAACCCTGGAGGCAGAGGTTGCAGTGAACCGAGATCATGCCACTGCACTCCAGCCTGGGCAACAGAGCGAGACTCCGTCTCAAAAACAAAACAAAACAAAACAAAAACTAGTGAATGACAAAAGACTCAGGAGGTTAGTGACTTGCCTGTGGTCACAAAGCCAGGATCAAACCCAGTCTCCTAATTCTCTGACGTACACTCTTTCAGTAAGCCACACAGTTCTAAAACAAATCACCTCGTTACCTCGGCAGTGATGGCTGAGCCCCCTTCTTGTTTGAACTTTCCACTGTAATTACATGAAGGCAACTTGTTTCTTGAGGTTTTAAAGTAATCACCTTTCCCCACCTTTTTGTATCAATACATGTTCATTACAGAAAGAGAAATAAAAGAAGGAAATGAAAATTACCCATAATCTCAGCACTCAGAGATACCAATTTACACCATTTTTGGTATTTATCCTTCCAGCGGTTTTTTATTTTCTAAATAAATGTAATTACACCTTTTAAACTCATTAACCTTTGTTCATACGGTTCATAAATAAAGCAAAAGTGACCAACTCTCCCATTATATTTGTTGAAAATTATTGTGCTTCTTGCCTAATATTTCTATTCTGTTACAATAATGGAATTGGAAGACCAACTGCTGATAAAAACTGTCTTAACCAGACAAGCAGGTCTGTGTGGATTTGGGGAAACACCACCACAAGTCTATCTAAAAATCGTAAGTAGAATCAGATCCTTCACGCACCCAGAGAGACATTGAACGTCACCCACAAAATCTAATACAGCTGAGATCCTAGGAGATCATGAACAATGTTTGTAAAGAAAACCTTTTGTTCTTTCTACAAAAGTAATAAAAGTTCGTTAAAGAAAAAGTAAAAATAATAATAAGCAAACAGAAGAAAATAAAAATGCCTGCAGTGCCACCACCACAGGTAACTGCTGTTAATCCTTTGGTTTTCCTGTCTTTCCAGATCTTTTCTTTTGCATAGTTGTCCACATACACACCTACAGTCATCGTTAAAGTTTAAAACCTAATGGCATAATATGAAACACACTGTTTTATAATCTGCTTTTTTTTTCCCACTTAAAAATAAATTGTGGGACCGGGTGTGGTGGCTCACGTCTGTAATCCTAGCACTTTGGGAGGCTGAGGTGGGCGAATGACAAGGTCAGGAGTTTGAGACCATCCTAGTCAATATGGTGAAACTCCATCTCTACTAAAAATAAAAAAAAAAAAATTAAAAAAAAAAATTAGCTGGGCGTGGTGGCGTGCACCTGTAGTCCCAGCTACCTGGGAGGCTGAGGCAGAAGAATCACTTGAACCCGGGAGGCAGAGGTTGCAGTGAACTGAAATGGTGCCACTGCACTCCAGCCTGGGCGACAGAGTGAGACTCCATCTCAAATAAATAAATAAATAAATAAATTGTAAGCATCTTTCCATGTCAATAAACATTTTTCTTCAATATCCTTTAAAACAGTGACTTGGTTTTCCATTGTACGGATGAAACATAATTTTTCTTCTTGGTTTTGGACATTTTAGCTAATTGCAGGTTTTAGCTATTACCAACAATGCTGAAATTATCATCTTCATAGCTAATATTTGCAACTCCCCTTGTTTATTTCTGTGGATAAATTCTTCAGTGGGAAGTCGGTGGGTGGAAACCATCAGGGCTCCGGAGGCCGTCACGTTCCCCTCCAGCAAAGTTTCAATCCATTCACACCTCCGCCCACTGTGAATGAGACTGCACAGTTCCTTGTACCCTAATCTACCCTGTGCATTTACCTCTTGGTTGGATAATGTATTTGTTTTAAAATCTTTGTCAAGGAAACTTGAAATACTTCCTAGCACATTCTTAGCAACACCCAGACTACTCAAAACTACAGAATCAGCTGCAGCCCTCGTGCCGCTGAGGGGATAACTTGCAGGCAACTCGGGGAATGTGTCACCTCCCTGCTGTACCCCACTTTTCACTCATTTTTTAATAGAAAAAAGGTCCCAAAAGGAGTTAGGGGCATGTGTATTGTGAGGGGCATTCCTGCCTGTAGAGATTTCCTCTCTTCTCCATGGTGAAGCAGATATCCTCAAGTGAGAGGGAAGATATGAAGCTGTCGCTTGTCTGAGCCCAGTGAGTGTATGAGATGACATTGAAAAGCAGAGAGCTGAGCTACAGCCAATGGACACTGACTGTACGTCCTGGTGTCAGGCATCCCACGGGGTGTCTCTCTGGGTCAGCCAATTATTCCTTCACAGATTCAGCAAACATTTATGGAATGTTTATTACATATGGCACTGTTGCTGTCCTCGAGTTTTTTAGGGACACAAATTTTGATCGTGCCACTCCCCTCTCTCCCACCCTTCAGTGGCTCCCTACTACCCTCTGGACAAAGCCCAAACTGTGCCCAAACCATCAAGGCTCTGTGATTTTGCCTCTTCCCACGCTTACAGCCTCATAGGTATCACTTCCTCACTGGCCTCCGGGGCACCACCCTTTCTGAGGGCTTGAGTCCCTCATTTGTGCTGTTCTCTCTACCCCAAAGCAGTCAGCAGCTTTCCACCCAGTGAAATCCCACACATCCTTCCAGGCTCATCTTAAATGTCACTTTCTTAGGAAAAGGGTCCCTGACACCCTCTCAACCAAACTAGTTCTCCCCATACTTAGGCTCAACACCTTTGCACATCAGTACGTATCACATTAGGGTTCAACTCATCCAGGGTCTGTCTCCCCACAAGAATGTAAGCTCCAGGAGAGTGAGGGCCACAGCCTCTTGTTCTGGATGGCATCCCATGGTCCAGCACAGAGTAGGGGATCTTAGCTCCTTGTGGAGTTAACGAATGAAAGAGAGGCGTGACATAACACCTCCATTTTCAAGTCTTTAAGAGGTAAGAAGTCACAAACACCAAGATGAGCACTCCTATTTCTGTCTGGAGTAGGGTAAGAGGAAGCTTTCTGTGACCCCCTGACCACACTCTTGGATAACCTTCAGTAAGAACGACCACCAGCATGTCCAGAAGATAAACTTCAAGGCATAACTAGTCTGCACACGGAATCATTATCCCTTGAATGTGTTGGAAGAATGTGAGTGCTGAGCTTGGAGAATCCAGCAGTGATGAAGTATTTAAGGGACTAGAGTTTTAGAGTCTTATAAAGAGTATTGATTAAAGGTCAAGACTTAGGCCGGGCGTGATGGCACATGCCTGGAATCCCAGCACCTTGGGAGGCCAAGGCGTGTGGATGACTTGAAGCTAGGAGTTCCAGACCAGCCTGGCCAACATGGTGAAACCCTGTCTCTACCAAAAAATGCAAAAATTGTCCAGCTTGGTGGTGCACGCCTGTAGTCCCAGCTACTGGGGAGGCTGAGTTGGGAGGATGGCTTGAGCCCAGGAGGTGGAGGTTGCAGTGAGCCAAGGTTGCGCCACCGCACTACGGCCTGGGTGAGGAAGTGAGACCGTGTCTCACAAAAAAAAAAAAAAAAAAAAGGACTTACGAAAGTTACATGCTACTTTGTAGATTTTTTTTCCAGTTAAACAGACAAATAATTGCTGTTCAGTAAAAAAAAAAAAAAAAAAAAAAAAAACCAATAATCTGAAAGGTCTATTATCTGAAACGATAATCTGAAAAGTTTATTGTCTTGTAGGTTTGTTATCTTCTAGGACTTTAACCAGTTTCATATTTAGACTTGCAATCACACTCTAATATTCCTTAATTAAATTGCCTATACCTACCTAGCACCTCAATGATCTCTTTTTA